GTGCTCAGGCGTTTCAACTCATCTCTGTGACAGGCTGTTGATCAAATATGAAGTCGTTCTTCTCAGTAGTACCTGGGAAAAGAACGAGAATATTTTGTTGAACGACGAAAAGACGAACAAACAGACAAGATGATGGCAATATAGTACCCTTCAGTGGCGGATCCAGAAATTTCATAAAGGGGGGGGGGGGGGCACTTACTGCCATAAGAGGGGGCCCGATCCAGTCATGCTTCAGTGGTCCCTAAATAACCAACCAAATTTTTCCCACAAAAGGGGGGAGGGGCGGGCACCCTGCCCTCCCCCTAAAACCGCTCCTGTCCTTAACAAATGAGTGTGTGGGGGTTGTATAATTATCTGTATATGATTACTTATCACGAGTAACAGACACGTGCCGCTAGTGAAACAGGAATTGTCCTCTCTATTTATCATGATCTTAAGTTAAAGATAGGTTTTTGAAGATCTCGCAGTCGGTTATCTTTAAAAAAAACATATTCAAAGCGGTTTTTGAAAATTACTAAATGGCATGAATCCCTCAGTATAAGTGCATTCTTTTTACATACTAAATATTTGTTTGAAAGACAGTTTCTTTTAAGAGTGCATTCTCGTAACAGTGCACTTAAACACACAAGCATTCAGTATGTAAATTGTGGGAAGAATACACTTGATCATACTAAATATTTGTTTGAAAGACAGCGTCTTTTAAGAGTGCATTCTCGTAACAGTGCACTTAAACACACAAGCATTCAGTATGTAAATTGTGGGAAGAATACACTTGATCATACTAAATATTTGTTTGAAAGACAGCGTCTTTTAAGAGTGCATTCTCATAACAGTGCACTTAAACACACAATCATTCAGTATGTAAATTTGTATGAAGAATACACTTGATCATACTAAATATTTGTTTGAAAGACAGTTACTTTTAAGAGTGCATTCTCATTACAGTGCACTTAAACACACAAGCATTCAGTATGTAAATTGTGGGAAGAATACACTTGATCATACAAGCATCGGTCGATTTTTTTTCAATATACATGTATCTTAATTAAGGTTCATGAAACTAGCTTTTGCTATTGTTCTGTTTAACACGAACAATAAAAGATATTTGTCTCCTTGTTTAGCTCTGTTAAAAAAGTCATGTAAAGAATAATTTATAAAACACGTGTAAATACCATGTAAAAAGTAGATGTGGTATGATTGCCAATGAGACAGAAATCAACCATATTCCAAATGACGTGGATATACTAGTAAACAACCATAGATCACTGTACGGGCTTCAACAACATCCCACACTGGAATTTTAAGCTTTGAAAGGCTACGACAAAATATGAAACAATTCAAAACAGAAAACCAACGGCCTGATGTATGACAACACAATAAACGTAAAAAAATAAATATGACAGACAGCACCGACAAACACTGAATTACAGACTCCTTCCTCTATTGGGACATGCACATAAAGAATATGGAAGGTTTTAACATGTTTGTATGTGCTTAATCCTCTTAAATTAGAAAGAACCAATTGAAAAGGCATAATTAGATCGGCACAAAGCACAAAAACAAACATAACAGAATAAAAAATAAATAAAAGAAGAATGTGTCTGAAGACATGAATGCCCTCGCTCAAGCTTTGCAATTTTCCATGTTGAAAAGGGACATAACTCTAGACCGGTAAATGGCTCACAACCCAAATTCGAACTCTGTCTGTGTATTGCGTTTCTTAGCATTGTGTATGAGTTTCATAAAATTTAGATGAGGAAAACTTAAGTTAGAGTGCGGAAACGAAATAAATTGCAAGTTTCCAAGTTATAAAGGGGCATAACTCTAAAACGGTAAGTGACTGACTGCCCAAATTCGAACTCTGTCTGCAAGTTTGGGTTCTTAGCATGGTGTATGAGTATCATAAAATTTGCATTAGGCAAGCTTCAGTTAAAGTGCAGAAACGAAAATGGGACGGACGAAAGCACGGAAGGACGGACAGGAAGAAGGACGGTTAAGAGTAACACTTAATGCTTCCGTTGCATACGGCGGGGGCATAAAAACACGAAGTAACGATCTCTTTATACAATATGTGCACATTGTCCGAAAATATAAAATTTATTTGCACGTGCTTTAGAAACGAAAAGCGAGGATCGCCGAGAGTTTCTCCTGTTTCGTAGCGAGTACAACTATACTTTATATTTCCGACAATTTACATATATTGTTTTTTATCCTGCAATTTACTCCCGGCACTTAATGTTTAGTTGTTTAAATCCAAATAGCTATCACAAATACAAGTACAAATAAAGCCAAAATTTATTTGTTTATCTGTTATTTGTATTATAGTAGGCTGATTGTAGGATAAAAGAATAAACCTAGTTCAAAACGAATATCAACCAATGAATTAACAACGCTTTCCCAGGCTAAAATATCAATCATATAGAGTGCATTTCCTTCTAACACAAACGATGCAAACGGCTGAGCGCGCACATGCTTTGATCATTTCTTTCTAACATACGTTTGCGAAGTTTATATAAACTTTGACAAACTATGCACTCGCTAAATATGCGTCTACAGTTCATAGTTTGTTAGTACAAACGCTACATTTGTTTCTAACTTCAACCTTGAATTTTAGTAAAATTATAAGAAAACATTGGAACAATCTGCAAAAAGACAAACAATGCAGTGAAATCTTCACCCTTAGTAGTGCATATAATAGCGTATAAACGCAACAAAAATATAAAAGAATAACTTGCTAAATCAAGGCAATAGTTGGGAGACTTTTGAAAAGGGACCCATGATTTAACAGTATAAACAAAAACTCCCAAAACACTGCATGTTAGTAATAATCTTAATTCTTGGCAACAAACATTCATACATGTGAAATAGAGTGCATTTCTTTCTAACACAAACGATGCAAACGGCTAAGCGCGCACATGTTTCGATCATTTGTTTCTAACATACGTTTGCAAAGTTTACATAAACTTTGACAAACTATGCACTCGCTAAAAATGCGTCTACAGTTTGTCGTTCATCGTTTGTTAGTACAAGCGCTACATTTGTTTCTAACTTCAATCTGATTAAACGGTGTATTTGTTTCTACGTTTGCAAAAAGTCTGTTTACCAACAACATGTGCATGCATTATTGGAAGTTCAAACAGGGTCAGTAAACACTGATTGATCGATGTATTTGTTTCTACTTTCGTAGCGTTTAGAAAACAACAACAAACGCCACACAACGTTTACAAAATTTTGTTTAAAAAGAAATGCACTCATAGAAAAATAACGGCGTAAAGTCTTGAGATTTATTAGGTATGTTGGTTGAAGGAACCGCATTTTATTATAACCGCGTAATAAGCATGATAAGTCTGTTTAGTATTTACCAACAACATGTGCATGCATTATTGAAAGTTCAAACAGGGTCAGAAAACACTAATCATAGTAAACGATGTATTTGTTTCTATTTTTGTAGCGTTTAGAAAACGACAACAAACGCCACACAACGTTTACAAAATTTAGGTTAGAAAGAAATGCACCCTAAATATCCAACGAACTTAGTGTAAAAAACAACAAAAGCATGACCATGTAAGTAAACTTTAAGTATCAACACGTAGAACCAAAAGTGATCATAACTGCATTATAATACATAGTTATGTTTTAATTCATTAAAAACAAAATCAATGCTAATAGCATTGATAAAGATAATATTCAAAGATCTAACACAGTGTAAATAAATAACCTTTCAGAATAAGTTTATTCTAATGATCAATAAGTTTACATTGGCTGTATATAGATTTACGTGCACTATATAAACAACATCACTGTAAAAATTAGGATGTGATGTCCCGTTTATAATAGGTTTCTACAGGTACAGCAAAACTTTCAAGCCAAATGTTTATCTTTTAGAGAATTTTGTAAAACTTTAAGTAATTTGATGTGGCGATCGATTGATTGATTGATTGCTGTTTATTTAACGTCCAGTGGCAACTATGTCATGCATATTCACGACGAGATACAATAGCTAGGATGATCTGAACTAAGGGTGGGAAGTTTGGACTGCCACATGTTGCATGATGGGCCACAAAGGATTTAACGTCCCATTTTCGAGTGGACTTACATCCTGTTCAGCTAAACAGACACCAAAGTTAAGCAAGGGTGTACATGCCGAAACGGGGATATCCAGTGAAGACCATATTTCTATATACCCCAGTCAACCTTTGGGGTTTGAGGTAACGGATCCCTGACTTAATAATTTACCAATCATGTTCATTTAATGCTTCATTTTTGTAATTTTATTGTGGTGTAAAAGAGTTGTCCGAATCTTATCTTATTTTGTAATTAAAAATGTGTGCACGATGAACGCTTTTACAAATATATATATAACATTACAAAATGAGGCATTCAATTCTTATAATTCCATTTTACTATGAGAAAAAAGTATTACAAAAATATCGAACCCCAAGGCAAATTCAAAAAAGGGAAGTCCATAAAAACTGACAAAATCAAACGCTATCAATCAACGAAAAAGGTGAAAAACAACTGCCATATTTCTGACTTGGTACAGGCATTTTCCGAAGAAATTACGATTATATACAAACTTTTCGTTTGTTTTCCTATGCATTGGTGTAACGTTGTGACGGGAAGCACGCGTTGCATGCATGATGCATTTTATTGAGAAATAAAATCTAATTTTGGAATGCCTTTCGATAGTTTTCAGCCAACCAAAAGTACTGATTCTTATGAAATATACAGTCAGAGAAAGCCTTATTGCTAGACTGAAACTAGTTTCAAAAGATATGAAGCTTATATTGCATTCAATGGGGTCAGGTGGGGCTACTGCTGCAGCAAATTCTGAAATCAACGGCAAATATTTATTTACTCGGTAGTTATTTTTAAATCTACCTGTATACATGTATTTCTTTTAACAATAAATTCAAAGCTGTTTGAATAGCCAACGGTAGCGTTTATAAATATCGATATACCCGAGTGGACACGATTCAGTTACTCTACCTGTGGCTTTTAATTGTCTCTATTTTTATCCAAATCGATCAGGCAAAACATGGCGGCGCCCATCAAATTGTTATTTTTTTGACATTTTTCAAGTTTTATTAAGGAAGTTAATAAAATTAACAGTATAGTATAGATTACCTTGGATACGATTTTTGTTCGTACCATTATGATGGTATTTGTCTAGAAGAAGGAAGCGAACACCGCACCAGAATCAAGGTAATTTGTTTGTAGTTTTATTATAATGTTGTCTGGATAATTCTTCTTGTCCTTATGTCTTCTTCTTCTTCCAATTACATTTTAACCAACCATCTGACGTATGCCAATACTAGTCTACGTACATATAATTAAAAAAAAACAAGATCACAATAGCTGCTGTCTGGAAACTACAACAAAAATAACCCTTTCGACATTTCAGAACATATCCTAAGATATGGATACTAATTATTTTTGTGTTAATGAGTTATAAAAGGAAACGTAACTTTTTTCCCTCATATAATATAAAGATAATAAATATTCACTAATGGGGACAGGACAATTGTTTAGCCCTCCCCGTTTTTCCAAAATCCGATTTTTATACGACCGCAAAAAATTTTTGCGGTCGTATATTGGTATGACGTTGGTGTCGTCGTCGTCGTCGTCGTCGTCGTCCGGCGTCGTCGTCCGAAGACACATTGGTTTTCGCACACTAACTTTAGTTTAAGTGAATGGATCTCTTTGAAATTTTACCATAAGGTTCAATACCACAAAAGGAAGGTGGGGATTGATTTTGGGGGTTATGGTACCAACAGTTAAGGAATTGGGGGCCAAAAAGGGGCCAAAAATAAGCATTTTCTAGTTTCCAGACAATAACTGTGGATTGGTGTATGGATCTCTCTGAAATTATACTACAAGTTTCCATACCACAAAGGGATGGTTAAGATTTGCTTTGGGGGGTTATGGCTCAAACCGTTTAGGAATTAGGGGCAAAAAAGGGGGAAAAACAAGGTTGTCCTGGTTAATGGACAAATACTTTAGTACAAAACATAATTTAAAGCAGTGTAAGGGAGATAAATCAAATACATCATTGAAATTATCTCCCTTACACTGCTTTTAAATTATGTATAAAGTAATGGTTAATGAACAATTAAGATAATTTAAAACAGTGTAAGGGAGGTAATCCAAATACAATGTTTTGGTTACTTCCCTTACACTGCTTTTAAATTATGTTTAAAGAAATGCATATTTATAAAGGAAGACCAGTAAAAATATCTGCAAATGTTGCATCTTTTTTTTTTTACAAAAAACTCAATATGAAAGATTTGACACTATATTTTAAATTCTATTATAAAATAGATTATGTTAGCTCTATGGTAAATTTAAATGGGTAATTATGGTTGCAAACTCCATTGGAAATTTGATTGAGATTATGACCATATCTTGAGGGAAAGAATTTTTTGGGGGAAAAAAAAGGGGGGGGGGGGGGTAAAAAGAAATTGTGGGGGGTCAATTTTTTCTCATTTCAGATTTCAGAAATTAAAAAGAATTATTCTTCAAATATTATTTTTTTTTTCAAATTTCAAATATTGAAAAATTTCAAGAAGTAATCTTTAATTGCACAGTATGGCGCATTAGATTTTTAAAATCTTTGACCACATTTATTTATTTGTTATGCCGAATCTAACCGTGTTTTTACATTTTTAATTTTAGGTCCAGTTTTCAAATTGGTCTACATTAAGGTCCAAAGGGTCCAAAATTTAACTTTGTTTGATTTTAACAAAAAATGAATTTATGGGGTTCTTTGATATGCTGAATCTAAACATGTATTTAGATTTTTGATTTTTGGCCCAGTTTTCAAGTTGGTCTAAATTGGGGTCCAAAATTAAACTTTGTTTGATTTCAACAAAAATTGAATGTATGGGGTTCTTTGATATGCTGAATATAACCATGTATTTAGATTTTTTATTTTTGGACCCCGCTATCAAATTGGTTCATATTGAGGTCAAAAGGGTCCAAATTAAATTTTGTTTGATTTCATCAAAAATTGAATTAATGGGGTTCTTTGATATTCCAAATCTAACCGTGTATTTAGATTTTTAATTTTGGGTCCTGTTTTTTTAAATTTGTCTACATTAAGGTCCAAAGGGTCCAAAATTAAACTTAGTTTGATTTTAACAAAAATTGAATTCTTGGGGTTCTTTGATATGCTGAATCTAAACATGTATTTAGATTTTTGATTATGGGCCCAGTTTTCAAGTTTGTCCAAGTTGTGGGGTCCAAAATTAAACTTTGTTTGATTTCAACAAAAATTGAATATATGGGGTTCTTTGATATGCTGAATCTAAACATGTATTAAGATTTTAGATTTTTGGCCCAGTTTTCAAGTTGGTCCAAATTGGGGTCCAAAATTAAAATTTGTTTGATTTCAACAAAAATTAAATATATGGGGTTCTTTGATATGCTGAATCTAACCATGTATTTAGATTTTTTATTTGTGGGCCCCGCTATCAAATTGGTTCATATTGAGGCCAAAATGTGGCAGAATAGTCAACCAGTTGACGGTGGCCGCTTACCGGAAGAAGAAGAGAAGAAGAAAAGGGTCCAAAATTAAACTTTGTTTGATTTCATCAAAAATTGAATTATTGGGGTTCTTTGATATGCCAAATCTAACCGTGTATTTAGTTTTTTTAATTTTAGGGCCCGTTTTTTAAATTTGTCTACATTAAGGTCCAAAGGGTCCAAAATTAAACTTAGTTTGATTTTAACAAAAATTTAATTCTTGGGGTTCTTTGATATGCTGAATCTAAACATGTGTTTAGATTTTTGATTATGGGCCCAGTTTTCAAGTTGGTCCAAGTTGGGGTCCAAAATTAAACTTTTTTTGATTTCAACAAAAATTGAATATATGGGGTTCTTTGGTATGCTGAATCTAACCATGTATTTAGATTCTTTATTTGTTGGCCCCACTATCAAATTGGTTCATATTGAGGTCAAAAGGGTCCAAAATTAAACTTTGTTTGATTTCATAAAAATTGAATTATTGGGGTTCTTTGATATTCCAAATCTAACCGTGTATTTAGATTTTTAATTTTGGGTCCTGTTTTTTAAATTGGTCTACATTAAAGTCCAAAGGGTCCAAAATTAAACTCAGTTTGATTTTAACAAAAATTGAATTCTTGGGGTTCTTTGATATGCTGAATCTAAACATGTGTTTAGATTTTTGATTATGGGCCCAGTTTTCAAGTTTGTCCAAGTTGGGGTCCAAAATTAAACTTTGTTTGATTTCAACAAAAATTGAATATATGAAGTTCTTTGATATGCTGAATCTAACCATGTATTTTGATTTTGGACATTGGACCATAATAGGTAAATTAAAAAAAAAATCAAGTTCTTAGACCACATTCTTTCTGTGTCAGAAACCTATGTTGTGTCAAATATTTAATCACAATCCAAATTCAGAGATGTATCAAGCTTGAATGTTGTGTCCATACTTGCCCCAACTGTTCAGGGTTCGACCTCTGCGGTCGTATCAAGCTGCGCCCAGGGAAGCATTTTATTTCTTTTAGTTTCAATTTTTTGCGTGTTTTTCTGTGTTAGACTTAGGCCGTGTTCACATTGAGCTAAACTCGGTGTGGCGTAAATGTACTCTACACTTAAACTAAACTCAATTACGTTCCCATTGATAAAAATCAATGTTTCGACATGTAGTTTAAAACAGGCTTTGACTACATGCAGTCGATATTCAATGTAGGTTTTGTGTGGGTTAATTGTTCATAAAACAAGATATCAAAAACGTGGATTTTATTGTGAATTTTTAAGGAAGTTACATATATTGAGTAAATATGATTATAATAATATTATGAATTAAGCTATTTACCTATTTATATGACAAAAACTCAAAAGTTTCTCCGATGACATGATTAAATTTAATAGCCTTAGTGGACCATTTGATTTTCAGTGGAAAGGGGATTTTTTGCTGATAGAATATTTATTTTACATCGGTTGATAGTACGGCTTATTTGTTTAGCGTGAAAGTTATTTTCACTTTTTGTACACAACTTTTTCTTGCAAAGTCCTGCATTTTGTAGGACAAACTATTTATTTTCATCGTGTCGTGGTCAAGGTTATTTGTACAGTTAGTACCAGTCCAGACTATTCATTTCCAAAATCATCCCTTTTGTATGGCCATTCAGATCTTCTTCGATCGGCCGTAAAACCCTTGCGTAGGGCGTCCGTTTGGCTGTGCGGGATGTAGTAGTACTCAGCCACGTCCATTTTCATCTCGGACGGCCTCTATTACAGGACCTTCCTATTGTATTTATTGTTAATTTGTTTTCGTCCTGAACATGCATGAAGTATTTGCCACTGGACGTTAAGCAATCAACAATCAATCATTTTCTAAATCCTTTTTTTGCCTATTGTTACGCTGTTTTAGCAAACGTAATCGTGGCATCGTTAGAACTCTCAAATTTCTCCAAATCAATAGAATGATTTTTTTATGGTACCGAACATTCATCTTCGTAGGACAAACCATTTTTTTTATTACTTTTTTGTGATTTTTTCAATTACATACAGCAATTTTTAAAACTCCATGTTCAATCCCCCCGCCCTTCATTTTCAAGAAATCAAACAACTTTTCTCACTTCCTTCCTTGAAAAAAAAATTAAAAATTAAAAAAAAAAAATAGAATTTAAACAATTTATCTCCCTCGCCCATAATATATACATAAACATACTCGTGCTTCTTAAGGTTCATGTGGATCCTTTGGCTAAAATGGCTGCGTTTTCACCTGAATATTTTTTCTGTGTATCAACAAACCTGTGCATCTGGAAAAGTTGTAAGGCATAGCATGCTCTAAGTAAATAAAATTCAAATGCCTTAAAACTTTTCCAGATTCACAGGTTTGTCTCAGAGTAAATTTTGAGGTGAAAACACAGCCATTTTAGTCAAAGGGTCCACATGAACCTTAATGTTCATCATAACCTAAGGGTCCATATGAAACTTTATGTTCATCATAACCTATTGGCTAATATGGTCGTATTTACACAACAAATTTTACCCCGAGTACAGACAAACCTGTTCACCTGAAAAAGTTTTAAGGCATGGCAGCTAGATTATTAAATTTTAAATGCATTTTATGTTTCAGAAAATTATAAACTTTTTATGGATTTTGCTATTCATTTTTTTTCATTCCTGCAGAAGATGCCATAATGAAATATTATTTCTGTACTCCATGTATA